ACCCATAGCCAACAAGCTTCAGAACCCTGTTCCCCAGATCACTGCAGTCTGGAACTCCTTCACTGTCTCCTGTGGCTCCTAGCAGAAGAACCTAGGCACTGTCGCTTACCTTCCTAAGCCTGAAAGGACTTTCGAAGTCAAGCTGGTCTTAAACTCTGCAGTGTGTGAGTTTAGATCATCCCTGGCTTCTCTGAATTCCACCCTCATTATTTATGAACTGTTAATACCAGCCACGCAGGGCTGTTGTCTCTAGCCCAAGACCTGGCACACACTTGTATTGACCATATTCTTTTTGCTTTTGCATGCTTTCTTTTTAACATCTTTAAAAGTAACTGATGAGACACAAGCTGTACCTCCCAGGACTAGCCATCTTTTAGCGTGAACAAAAGCTGGTGGCACATCAGCCAAGCCCAAGTCCATGGCCTCAACCTCCCATCTAACTCTAGCACACCAGGCCTGTATTTCTCCTGCTTCAAATCACTCCAGGGACAAGTACCAAGGACCTAGAGACTGCCCTGTGCCCCAGAGCCCAGAGGAGGTGCTCATGCTCAGGCCACCCCTAGCTCGTCCCCTCCTCTGCCTCACTGTTCCTGGAGAAACCCCATTAAAGACACTAGCCTTGGCTTTTCAGCCTTTGTCCTTGCCTACCGACCCACCCTGGTACTGCCTCCCACATGTCCCATTTCTGGGGTACTGGGGTAGAAGCAAGCTTCCCTGTCATTACTGTTGACCTCTGTGTGTGCTCACTCAGTCATAACTCAATAGATTAAATGAGAACAATATTTAATCAATGTAAATGGCTCTCCTTCCCATATTGTCATTTAAGTTAGTGAATGTCCACAAATCATAATTAGATACAGTGGGCGAAGACACAGGCGGGACTGTGACTATCCGAAGAACAAAGAGGATTAGAGACTTGAGGACGGCAGATACTCAGCCAGCACCTCCTCTGGTGCCAGATCCAGGGTGCTGGCGGGGGGGGGGGGGGGGAGGAGAGTGTGCATTCACAGTAGCTTAACATCTGCTGTTGACACTGGCTTCCTGGACAGTGTTTTGAGAATTGCAGTTTGGGGGCATGCAAAAATGGAGCAGTTGGAGAAAACTACTGGCCCATTGGGATAAACAAATCTCTCAAGTTGAATAAAAACAAAGTTTGAGGACAGTAGCAACAAAGGCAGTTTCTGCTTCACAGAAAGGAGGAGCCTGGTTGGCTTAAACCTTGCTGCCTGGAGCGAGAACACCTTACTGGTCTCTGAAGAACAATGGCCCAGGGTCCTCTACGGTGTGGGCGTTTGTTTGCTTTAGAGGAGGGTTACTTGTCCCTCTCGTCCATATGTTTTTGACTGACATGACATGGCCAGTGTCAGCACTGACAAAGTATCTATTGCAGTAGACTCTCTGGACCCTGCTTTGGAAATAACAGGCAATGATGACTCAAGCTGTCATCTGATGACAGGACGCCGGAAGCCGGACTCACCAGGCCATGAGTCTGGCCAGGCATTGGCAAGCCAGGCAGCAAGGGACCTCCACACCTAGAAGGCAGCTCTGGAGCATCAGTCCTGAGGTCAATCCTCAGAGGGATTCTCTAAGGTGGTGTGCAGAGGCTCTGGCCCATCTCCTCCAGTCTCTAAGGGATGCAGCCTGGATGCCTTAGGTGAAAGCCCTAGACTTTACTTCCACTCTGCCCTCTCCATGCTCTTTTCTGTAAAGTGAAACAAAAGCATGCATCCTGAGTTCTCTCTGGATGGTCTGCCTGTGGTTTTCCAGGATTTCTCATCTAGGTGTAGAATGATTTTTTTTTTAATAGCGACATTCTTAGTGCAGTCACTCATGGGCTGAAGAGACGGCCCCGTAGTTTGTGAACTGCTCTTCCAGAAGACTTACATCAGGCTCACAACCATCTGTGACTCCAGCCTGTTATGGACTTGCCAGACTCTGCACACATATGCTTGTGAGCGCACACACACACACACACACACACACACACACACACCACAAATTAAAAAGAAAAATTTTAACAAAAATCAGTGATGCTCTCATCACATATCAACTCAGCATGGTTTAGAAAAACAGCTTTTTCCCGGTCAGCCCGTGTCCAGCCTGGCTTCTGCCTGTGTCCCTGGGCAGGTCTGTCATTTCCATGCTGCTGCTCACAGTGAGCAGCAGCAGGAGCACATCTGCATGAGGGGACTGAGACTCAGGGAACAAGGCAGAGTTAACAGGGCTAGCTGCCACAAGGCAGGATCACAGTTGATTTTCAATTTCAGATAAAGGCGAATGAGCTCTCTCTGTACATTTACCCCCCTCAAGCTTAAAATATAATTACAATGAAAATATAAAATCAAATACAAGGCCCCACTTAGCTGAACTTCCAATATCAAAGAATCTCTGTCTCCCTGCTCTAGAAGGTCCCTCAGTGATCATCACAGGCTCTGTACTACCAGGAGTGACGGAAAGGGTGAAATGGTGCAGACGCTTAGAGGCTGAATCCTGTGTGGGATGGAACCAGGGCAGCATGGAAAGCCCCTTCCCTTGGTAGGGAGCAGCACTGCCCTTCCACACTGTGCCTGGGAAGGCCTGTTAACTACAGCCCAACACCACTTTAGAAATCATTAGCCACTTCCTGTGCATTAACATTACCAAACAGCAAGGGACAACTTGTAAGCTATTATCCCATGGCCCAGCCTGGCTTTGAAAACATTAGCTCACAGTGCATTTGTGCATTTCAAAATACGGTGGCTCTTTCTGAGGTCAGATTATGAACCTCTTCTTGACTGCCACCTTTTAAAATGATCTTTCCCTGCTTGTCCTGACTTAGCTTTCTTTTTCACAGCATCCCCATTATGTAATCAGTTTCCAGTTTTTCTCCACTATTTCTCAGTAGAACAGATGCATTAATAAATATTGCTAAGTGCTGAGGAGAAAACGATTAAGACCCCACACGTGGTGCCTTTTCAAATGTTTGGGAATAGGGCTGCCAAGATGGCTCAATGGCTAAGAGCACTTACTGCTCTTAATTGTTTGGTTCTCAGCACCCACGTGGCAGCTCATAACCATCTGAAGTTCCGGAGTCTCTGACAGCCTCTTCTGGCCTCTGTAGGCACTGCATGTATGTGATATAATTTAAATACATGCAAGCAAAACAGACACACATAAAAGTAATATTTAAAATAAAATGTTTGAGAATTTTGGGTTTTTTTTAGTTAGAGTTACTTTTGCTATGATGAAACACTATGACAAAAGCAAGTTGGGGAGGAAAGGGTTTGTTTGGCTTAAATTTCTATGTCACTGTTCATTATCAAAGGAAGCCAGGGCAGAACTTCAAACAGGGCAGGAACCTGGGAAGCCAAAAAGGGATGCCTGTTCACTGGCTTTGCTTAGATTGGCTTGCTCAGCCTGCTTCCTTGTAGAACCCAGGACAACCAGCCCAGGGATGGCACCACCCATAATGGGCTGGGCCCTCCTCCATCAATCGCTCAGTAAGAAACTTCCCTACAGCCGTACCTCATGAACATATTTTCTCATTTGAGGTCCCCTCCTTTCAGATAACTCTAGCTTGTGTCAAGTTGACATAAAACTATCCTGCACGGTAGCTAATTTGGAAAGCACTTGTCAGTCTGGAACTGGAAACGTGATGCCTATTAAGTGCACAGTGATGTTTTCCTTGGTATTACCATCTCCCGGAAAAACAGATCCTGCCTAACAACTTGCATGAGTCGTTTGTGCCCTTTATCCCCCGGCCACAAAAGATGGAACTCAGACGCATACCTGAAAATGGCGTTGGTTCTATTTTGATACCTGGGAGTTTGAGGTTGAGACTAAGAAGCTGCTGCTCTACTTCTGAGTGTGGTTAGAACCCTGCTGTGGCACCTGGAGAGCTTGCTGTAGGCTAGAAGTGAAGACACAGAAAGGGATCAGTGAGAAGAAAGTGAAAGCAGGCAGAAGAATGAGTCAGCAGCTCAACTCATTGATTCCCTCAGGATACAGACTGAGACTAGAGGCATGAAGACACAAACTCTTGCCTGAGGCTCACAGTACATGCAGTAGATACCAAAACTAACACACAAATATGACATGTCAGCTAAATGCCAAAAACAAATGGGAAAAAAAATGAGACAGAGACAAAGACTCTAGAATGGTGTAAAACCATTTTGGATGAAGGGCTTAAGAAGATGTCACTGAGAACCGGACATTCAAACAAGCCCTGAGGAGGTGACACAGTGAAGCTCTTGAGAGGAGATATGAGGTAGGTGGCTGTCTCTGTGAGCCATCTTGAGGAGAATATGCTGGTACTGTGGAGGAGGGCTGCACTCAGCTGAGAGAGCTGACTTTATCATGTACCTCAGGCACATTTGTGGTACTTCGATGCAATGCTCTTCTTCATTGGCAAGCAGCCATCAGTCACCCACTGAAGGTCTACCGTGGGAATCAGCAGTAACAAGAAGGGGTTATTTGACTGTGTTATGCCTATAACCCCAAGACTCAGGAAGCTGAGGCCAGAGGACCTCAAGGAGAACACCCTGGGCTACTTAGTGAGTGGTCAGGAGGGCAAAGGATGTCAACTAACAGGGTCAGTGCTGCAGACTAGGGCATAGATCTTACACTTGGCACAAAGAAATGTCGTATTTGCTTCCATGCCCAAGTCCAGAGCAGTGCAGGACATGAGAAAAGCATGCAACCACCAATCAGCCTGACATTAGCTCAGAAAGAGAGTAATGTCAGTCCATTAAAACATGGCAGTGGTGGTTTAGGAAGTTTGCCAGAAGAGACTACCATGTGTAACGATTCCATTGTATAAGCTGATGATGATTCACACATGAATTACATTTTAAGTAAAATGTATTTGAAGAAGAGCTATTGATATGGATCTGGAATCAGACTATTTGTGAACTATAGCTATATGTTTAATGATGGCACAATAATTTACACATGTCACAACCGAATGTTCACTGGGCAAAAGAATAAAGTACAAAAACCCTGAGTTATCAGAAACAGGGCACATGCTCACCACAGGGGCACACACACTAAAATTGCAACAGTACAGAGAAGATTGGCATGCCCCCTGCACGAGAAGGACACACAAATTTATGAAGTGTTCCATATTTTTTAAAAAGGAAGGGAGGGGGGAGAGAGGGTGGGAAGGAGGGAAAAGAAAAGAAGGAAGGAAGGAAGGAGGGAAGGAGGGAGGGGAGGAAGGAAGGAAGGAAGGAAGGAAGGAAGGAAGGAAGGAAGGAAGGAAGGAAGGAGGGCATAAGAAAGTAAGAGAAAAGCAGATAGTAGGAAAGTAATCAATCATTTAGACAGAGACAGGGGAGGAGTTGGGAGGCACTAGAACAAAAGCCAGCAGCTTGGTGGCTGTCTAATGACCAAGTCACGCTGAAGACTAGAAGAGAGTCTAGCCTGCTAGCTCTAAGCCACGGACCTAAACAAGTGGTGTGTCTGGATCACATCATAGAGTGCTAGGTATTCGCATGCTTCAGGCTTCACCGTGTTACAGGTTAGCATGCGCTGAGATGACCATGTTTAAGGGAAGTTGCATTATGGGGTTTGTTGGTTGTTGGTTTTGAGGTGCCAGGATCAGCCCCAGGGCCTCAGACATGCAAGTGTATTGCTGCTGAGCTGAATCCTCGGGTCCCTATGCATTGCCTTCTATAGGTTAACTTGTAAAATTTTTAATTTCCATGATTCTTTTGAATGTAACAATTAGCAAGGGTCAGAAGATCTCTCCTTGACCAGAGCATCAAAGTGAACGCCTGGGTCCAACTATCATATTGATCACAAGGTCAATGTGAGCCACTGCTACAGTCTCTCAAATTATGAGTTGGCTTCAAATCATCTCCTGGTTAGAACTCTGCATCTGTGTGGAGTTACGGTAAACAAGAAATGCAGACGGTCCAGTGGTGGAGACCCAAACTGGGGGCCGCAGGCTGCAGACATTGGGAGAAAGCGGAGCACCAAGCACTGTCAAAGCACAGGCCTGACCCCAGCACGCATGGTTCACTGCACGGTTCTGGCTGGTGCTCCCTGCTCCCTGCTCCCCAAGCTCCAACAGACCGATCCACCTGCCCGTGCCTCAGTTTGGGATTTCAAAGTATTCCCAGCCCCAGTGGTCTCGTGCCCTTCTTGCCTTCAGTGTTCTCTTCTGCTGTAAACCCACAAACCACACCTTCCAAGACTCAGTAGACTTCCATCTAGAAGTGTTAATATATAATTTGCAATACAAATATATGTAATGCATGCCTGTTGCAACATTGTTCATTGGTTGTAAGTCCACGGTCCATAAGTGTCCCATCATTAGTGGATTTGTTCCTCAAATAGGGTTTTATCCATACATTAGAATACAATGTAGCTATGAAAAGGATCAGTGTAAGCATATATCCCTACGTGACAAGATGACCTGTATAAAGTAAAATTAAAAAGGATATTATTATCCATACATGGTTTTAATTGTACATGTGTATGTGTCTGAATGGGGAGGAAATATATTTAATTTTGTCTGCACTGAAATGATATACACAAAATGCTTAGAAGAGGATTTTTCACACCCAATATAATAGGAAACTTCTCTTAAAACATGTTAGTAATTCTAAAAAATTATTTTAAGTTTGAGACAGCAATGATTGTTAATTAGTCAGCTAATAAGTGTAGGAACATCCTCCTGATGATGCGCAAGTGTTACGTGTTGATCAAATGAACCAGCACAGGTGAAATCAGAATCCCTGAGTGAGAAGACAGAAGAGTGAGGCAGAAAAAGTAGTCTCAGAAAACAATAACTGCGAATTTTCTTCACTTATTGGCGGGCATTAAGACACAGATACAAAAAGCAAACCCTGGAGCAACTACGAAATGCTGCCCATTCCACAGAGCATGTGCAAAGGCTGAACAACAAGAGGAGGGACCTGTCCTGGGAGCAGCAAGAGGAAAAAGATGTGCATTCAAAACATGTAGACTGAGACTGCATTAGCTACACAGGGAAATAAAGAGAATTACTGCACAAATGTCAGAAACAGTGCAAGCCAGAAACAAGTAATGTTTTTAAAGTGCTGGGATAAAACGTGATAAAACAGAGTTCTCTGCCTAGCCAAAATATTTTCTCAGCAATCAAGGAGAAATATAAACTGTCTTGTTTAGTGTGGCATCCACACCTGTAGTCCTAGCCCTTGGGAGGCCGAGCCACAACAGTTGCTGATACAGTTCAAGGCTGGCCATGGACACACAGAGAGACACTGTCCCCAAAGAAAAAACAAAATGGGTAGGGGGCAGGGGAAATTCTCTTAAACAAGTAAGAGCTGAGTCGTATTGCCAGGGACATGCATTGTAAGGAAGGCATTAGAAAGCCCTTCCGAAGAAAGGAACATGATACCAGAGAGTCCTAGACACAGAATAAAAATAAATAAAAATATTTCTTTTTAATTTCTTAAAATGCAACTAACTACAAAAATGAAAGCGTAGTCACATTTAGTGTGACTAAAAATATATATATTTATAAAATGTATAGGCATGGTACAAAGGGGATGAGCGAGGGATTTGCAAGGTATATCATACCATCCTAACACTATCTGTCAAGCAGTATATTCTTATGTGAAGATGGCCTTTGATGGCTCAAGTTGCATATATTGAAACCACAATTAAAACAAAACAAAACAACAACAACAAAAAAAAAAACTTGCTGCCAAGCCTGATGACCTGAATCCCATGCTGGAATCCACAAAGTAGGAGAGAGCTGACTTCTACAAATTGTTCTCTGACCTGTGCAGGCACTGGCCACACATACACAAATAAATAAACAAATGGTGAAATGAAGATTATGTTGTATCACCAAAAAATAAGAAAGGGGGAGGGAGGGAGGAAGGGAGAGAGGGATGGAGGGAAGAAAGGAATAAAGAAATAAAGAAAGAAAGGAAGGAAGGAAGGGAGGGAGGAAGGAAGGAAGAAAGGAGAGAAAGGAAAGAAGGAAGGAAAAAAGCAAGGGGGAGAGAGAGAGGGGGGATGAATAGAGGGATGTAGGGAAGAAAGAAAGAAGACAGAGATAGAAACCTAGTTCTGAAAATAGACTGACAGCCGAGACAGACCCATGCTCTGGTAATTGCAAGAGCTCAGGAATTTGTGCTCATCTACTCTGTGCCTTGGCTCTTCTATCTGGCTCCCAGGAAGAAAGCAGAGCTAATATCTCAGAGTTCTGCATACCTGATACACAGGACAGTCCAGCTTCATGCTACATTATGTGTTAGCTACGGTAGTCAGCGATTCCTATTCCAAAAGAAGATTTCCATTGCATGAGAATTTATCACATACGCAATTTGAGCTGAACTCTTTATAAACGCAATTTTTCGAGTACTACTCAGAGGACACGCATTACCACATAGACCCATGTTTTTGTTTTTTTAATATAATTTTTTATTTATTACAATTTATTCACTTTGTATCCCAGCTGTAGCCCCCACTCTCGTCCCTTCCCAATCCTGCCCTCCTTCCCTCATCTCCTCCCATGCCCCTTCCCCAGTCCACTGATAGGGGAGGTTCTTCTGTCCTTCCATCTGACCCTAGCCTATTAGGTCTAGGGGGGCAGCCATACTAGACCCACATTTTATATATACAAGTACATACAAACTTTAGTACTTAAACCAGTAAGTGGCAGCTACTTTACATTTTGTATCTCTGGATTTTCTGGTTTTATTTTATTTTTGAAGGAGCTTCATTATAATGAACTCACAAATGAAAACATCACACAGTTAAATAAAGAAAGCCACTCAAATAGGTAAGTGACCAGTTCCAAACTATGTAACTCAGTGAGTGTCTACCTAGTTAGAATGGCCATGCTGAAGCCATGGAACTTCACTTAATGTTTTACACTCTTACCATCAATTACAGTTTTATGCTTATCTACCATAAACAAGAAGGCCAATTAGTTTTGTAATGTTTTTCATGATTCACACATCCCTTACCTGCATTCCATCCATTCTCGTCCCCTAATATTATCTCCTTTCTCAATGTTATACTACACCAAGACTTGAAGCTGTTTATATATATTCATGCACGTACTAGAGGTTAGTACCACATATGAGGTAGAAGGTGTTTTTTTTTCTGAGTTTTTGAGTGACCTCATGTAATATTATACATTCCAAGTTTATCCATTCTCCTACAAATCTAATGATTTTATTTTTTCTTTAGAGCTGAATAATATTCCATTTTATATGTGTAACACTTTTTCATCATCTGTTCATCTGTTGATGGACATCTAGGATGGTTCCTAAATGATTTTAAAATAAACATTTTGTTTAATAAATTTGTTCAATAAAAATTAGTAGGTAATACAAACAAAACACAAAGCAAAAATAACCACCATAAACTAACATTGGAAAAATAAAAAAAATCTACTAATTATAAACACATTCAACAAACAAGGAATATAAGGTATTCCCTAAATTTGATAATAAAAACCTATAAAGAATATACTAAAATTTAACTAAATATATGTTGTGTACTACCAAATATTAAGCAATAAACCAAAGAAGGCCTAAATAAATGGAGAAATATACTTGTTCATAAACTGTAAAACTCAATAACATAATATTATACTGAATGTTTTAAAATACTTCGTAACATTATAACTGTAATATAGGTACATTTTATTATGTTGTAAGTGAATTGAAACTATAGAAATTATATAACATTTAATTTGAGCAGTTAACATTATATTAGACACTGTTATAATGAAACATTGTGAAGCTTAAAAAAATATCTAGTTTTTCATTGCAATCCAGTGAAAATTTCAGACAGGCTAGTTTGTCTTTTGTTTGTCCGGTTGGCTTTGGGGAGAGAATAACTATTGTTAAACTAATTTTAAAATATATTTGAAAAGATGAAGAAATAGAATAGCCAAATAATTTTGTAACAGAAATACAAGATTCAGAATTCACACCACCCAGTGTTAGGACTTACTATGAAGTCACAGCAGTGTAGACAATGAGGCCTTGGTAAAGGATGCACACAACAACCCACACAGAAGATCAGAAACTGACCCAGATAGGTGTATCAGCACACTGTGAAATTGCACAGGCAAATTCATGAGGCTGGAACAACTGAGCATCCTTATACAAAAGTCAC